GGATGCACCAGCTTTCTCCGCTTATCTCCAGAGCGTTGCTCTGGAGACGAGAGCACTGTTTTCACCCCCCTTCCTCCATTCCAGTCCATCACATAATTAAAATGCAGGAACGTAATAAAATAAGCTGATAATGACTGAAGGCAGAGGTGACAGACAATAGCTTTGATACGCCAAGCACAGCGTTGTCTTGTTGGAATTCCAGAAGGAAGACTGCTAGACTTCAACAACCCATTAATATACCAACCCTAACATTTCTTATACTTGAAAATAATTTTGGGCAAATTATCTATAGCACATATTCAAATCACACACTGAAAATAGCGTTTCAGCGTCTTACTTATCTTTTATGGATAAGAAGGGCACTGAAAGGTATTCAGACCATATTCAGTAATTAATACATGTAGCTGACACACTTGCTTCATATTTTTTGCTCTGCGTAGAGTCTCACTGTTTCTCTAAATTAATATTCATTTTGGAAGAGAAACCTAAAGACATTGCTGAGCATGTTGTCATATCACAGAGCCTCTTCTCATAATACCAACTGCACTCTATACTGTCCAAAGTGTGAGGCTCCTGAGAAAGGCAATCCAGGTCTACAAAGGGACATACAACTGAGAAGCAATGACACAAATGTTCTCATTTTTCTCTACATCACTAAGCATGTTTACAAACCAAAGCTAAGCCTATCTCACAATAATTTATTTTGAACCTCTTAAAGTAGTGCTGTTATGAAAGTACTACTTTCAAATTGCAAAATTACCCAAGAAACTGTTTAGCCAGAGGAATAAGGAGATTAAAAGGTTTTAGATTTAAACAAAAAACAAACAAGATTATGTTTTCAATTTTAAAAGTCTCTTAATAGCAGCATATTTTGGATACAAATTCATATAATGACCATCTCTTTTCTAAATCAGTTGCTTTAACCCACACAATCCCTTTGATGTGTATAACCAAAACCTGATTGGATGCAAAGAGGGGGACTCCCCTCTAAGAGATGTGCCCTCTGGGTTTTGAGTCTGGCTTCAGCTGTTACACAGAGAGTGTTGTGGCTTTCAGAGACCCTGTAGTCCAATAACTGGAAGTGAGACCCTGTTTATAAAACTGGAACTCTAGGGATCCTACAGAAGAGATATATGTAGCTGAGAGTTGAACTGCTGGGTTCTTGGTACTCTCTGAGCTTGGTTGTTTTCTTGCGGACGTTTCATTACCAGGCTGGGTAACATCATCAGTGCAAGAGAAAGTGGGATTTGCTGGCTGTTTATATATGGCTTGTCCTGTCAGTTTTGGTGGGGGTTGTGCTTCCTTGATTAGTGTATTGTCTCTTCCCTGATAGTTTATCTGATGCTGTTTCCTGCTTATCTGGGTGTTGCCTGCTAGAAGAGATGCATTCCAGCTGTTTGTTTCCTTCCTGGAAGCTTGCCATTCAGACAGATCAGCCATCAAGAGACACATACAGATAAACTCCATTTATGTACCATTTAAAAGGTACAATCAAGAGCCCAGAAAGGAAACAAAGAACCTACAATACTTCCTCTCCAGCAGCCTGAATGGAGAGAAACAGGCTCAGGCTCAACCCTGGCAAAACTGAATTGCTGTAGATTTTTAGGACTCCACCCATCGCCTGAGCTGAGGACCTACCACCTTTGGTGTTGACTGTGGACTCTCAGCTCCTGCCCAAGGAGCAGATGGCAGCCATGGCTAGAAGGACCTTTGCCCACATCCATCTTGTGTGCCAATTGTGCTGGAGCTAGATCAGGAGGCCCTATGCACTGTCACTCATGCTTTGGTCACCTCCTGTTTAGTGCAACATACTCTACACAGTGCTGCTCTTGAAGATCATTTGAAAGTTGCAGCTGGTCCAGAATGCAGTGACGTGGATGCCTCAGTTCACCTATGTTATACCTCTACTCAAGGAAGTGCACTAGCTTCCGCTAGACCTCCAGATGCAATTCACGGTGCTGGTTACCACCTATAAAGCCCTTCATGGTTATTTGCGGACTGCCTTTCTCCAGTTACAAGATCTGGCAGGGTGGTATGCTCCTGGTCACCTCTATTAAACAGTGCCATCTAATGTGATCCAGGAAGCATGCCTTCTCTGTCATGGCACCTGCCCTTTGGAACAACATAGAGATTTGGATGACCTTAATCTTTCCAGCCTTTTGTAAGGCACTAAAGACCAGACTCTTCCTCTAAGCACTGGGTGTCAGCATTAGGTGAGCCCATTGTGGCATGATGACTGTTTTGTTAAATTTTTGTGTGTGTGCAAGATTTGATTCTAATTTTTTTATTCTAATTGATCAATGTGTTTATTTTACTGATTGTTAGCCATTCTGAGTCATGTGTTGATTATGCAGCCATATAAATCTACATGATAAACAAACAAAAAAACGAACAAACAAACAAACATGATCCTGGTCTGCAAAATGGGACTGGGTGCCATGTAGGCCATGGGTTTGCTTCTTTTTAAGTTATAGATAAGGACCAAAATAATGAAACTCAAGAAATTCCTAACTGGATTACTTGATATATTTATATTTCAAGCTGATATTTGAAAGGAGTAACAATATTTGGTGGCTATACCTATGTACATGTATGTAGGTAGGTAAAAAAACAGATATAACAACTTTATGGGAAAGCACATTTGTTTTGCAATTATTAGCAAAACGGGAGAGCTAAGAGTTAACACTTCTTTTTCAGATGTCCAGGCTTTAATCTAGCTATTCAAATACAACTGGTATGTTTGGCAAAATAAGCAAATTTAAATCAAATTATTTCTTAATATTTGAGTTGAGGGGTGGGCAAGAAAGACACCAGACCTAGCAAAGGTGTTTCTTCTTTAAGATTAGGAAAGTAGACTATATTAGGGAAATTAATTAAAATAAATTATAGCCAGGTTTTAAGCAATTATAGCCTCCGTTTTATATACTTACAGTACTACTAGTGAATCTGTTCATATACGCTGTAATAACTCCACATTTGCTACCAGTAAAAAGTTGACAACTGTCTGGCACCCAGGCACAACTTGTTACCTTAGATAAAAAAAAAAAAGTGAGACATTTAAACAGTATTTATACTTTATCTGCTGTTCATCTCAAAGAGTGCCAAAGGGGGTTATATTAAAAACAGATATATTTAAAGAGAAACACTTCGTATTTCTTAATTTTTCAGCTGTTTTGCTCTTGTACTCATTCCATTCCTCCGCTAAAAAAAAGCCACCGCCACCCTTATAATAATTAATGAGGTTGCAAATCCACAAGCACTGACTCACATATATAACAGAACTTTCTCCTACTTTGAAAGTACTGTAGCTATTCTATGTCATATGGCAAACTACAAGAGAAACTTATAAGAGTGCTAGAAATAGCTTTCCAAGTTGCAGAGGGAAAACCGCAGCTCAAAAATCAAAAACTATAATGCATGTAGTTTGGGTGTACAATATATGTAACTGGGCTGTAGAATCAAGTAGCTACCAATTCAAATGCTCCAATTAATTCAGACTGAATCATTTTCTGATGACTACTGAAGTGAGCAATGATTCCCTAAGTCTAGATATTGATTGTATAATAGCCACAAAGTAGCAACTTTGTCTATATAGATATGATCAAAAACAAACAGAGTTAAGCAAGTCAGGGAGCAGCATGAATGTAAGAGCAGTTTATCACGGTATTAATTTGCCTGGACCAGAGGCCATATGATCGGGTACACAGCTACACAATTGTGCAGACAGGGATAGCAAAAACACTTATGAATAGTGGGGTCCATGAGACACCGGAAAAGCAGCAGCTGGCTCTTTGTTTGCAACCAGGAACACTCAACCTTTAATATATTTGATTAAGCTCAAAATCATAAAAGCTCACACCCTACTGAAGACTAATTATATCTCTATGGATTGCCTTCTGTTTTCTTTTATGTTGTACCATACTAACACGTGCAAAGACTTAATAAAATAGTTTTCCATTATTAAGAAGAAATTAAATTATGGATTATGACAATAGAAGCGTTTATGAGGGAGTTTGCAGCAAAGTCATAAGGTTCATTCTCAGTCTGATAAACCATGGCTTATTAGACTAGGATCAGTACATCTAAAGCAGACTTTATTTGTTAAGATACCATAGGATTGCATTGTTTCTCTTTTTTTTCTAAATACTATATTATATAAATTAAGTTACTTGCACAGAAGAGAATTAACAAGTTTTACCTGGTGAAACTGTGAGCTCTGTATAAAGTTTACTGGAGGTTCACTTTGCTTGCTTTTTAATCTTAAAATATTGTCTGCATATCCCCAACTCAGAATGGCCGACCACTGGATATCTGTACTGTGCATGCTTCTAACACCTGGAACAGCAGTGAAATTCAGTTGACATTTCAAGGTATTCTAGCCTTTTTTTTTTAAAGGAAATACCAGAATCTATTTTTTTTACTTTAAAATTGCTATTATTCTAACGACTGGGTGCCTTCTGTTTTACAAACCCACTGGAGACATAAATAATATAGCCTTCATAAGAAGATAGGCTTTCCGTATTCTCTATTTTAAAATCTCAAACAATGAACTTATTATAACAAGAAAAAATGTTGGAGTCCTTAGGTTTCCTCATATGTTCTTTGTTGCAGTCATGAATCCATATTAAACAGAATTAGTATGACTGATTTCTACAGGATCTAAGACATATGTCAGCCAGAGATATCCCTGACTATATAGGAAGCTAGCTAAGGGCAGTAATTTCCACCTGGAGTAGGGACAGCCTTGTTACATCTGCTGAACCACTTAATTATGGATGCTTCTACAGATGTCATCAGAATTGCTATAGCTCATGTGGGGGCCACTTCACAAACTGCCTTCCACACAATTTAGGATCTCTATAGCAATTACTCCACTCATTAATATACAACTCGGGCCTCAGTATCTTATTTGTCATCTTTGGACGATTGAACCAATGGATAAAGAGGGCAGTTTGGTCTTTTTTGAAATCTGGTTTTCCAATGTTTCTGCTAGGACGGTGTTCTAGAATCCTTACCTTGCTCTTTGCTGTAGATCATCAGAAGGCAGAATTTTTGGGACAAACCACAAATTGCTCTAGTTGGTAAAGCCTGCAAGGAGCCAAATCTTTCTCCATGTGGCTGGCTAAAACAGACAACGGGATCAGGAGCACTGGGGGAACCTACATATTCCCCCCATTTTAAGCCTCTGATCCAAGGTAAAGGACTCTAAAACAAAAAAACAAAACAGCTGTCAGTGATACCATTTTAAAACAATCTTTTAAACACCAGGTTTAATGTGATTTTATTTCTAGTGAAATTAATGTTAGATAACATATTTACCCATCAGAAATCATTTTTCTCCCAAATACTTGTGAATTGGAGGGTGATCATTAGGGCTGCGAAGAGCTTCTCATTAGAAAGCAAAAAAGTGCTGTAGAGCTTGTGAGGGGGCTAACAGAGCACCTGTCTCTAACTCCTTACCAAACACCTTTTTTCCTGGGAAAGGGCCCAACTGCCAAGGGCAGCCATGTGATCCCAGAGAAAAGGGTTGCAGACATCTGCAACAACCATGTTCCAAAGATCTGTTCCAAAGTAACTTTTTACCTTTGATTCTGAAGAGCTGCACAGACCTAGTGGTCATCGTAAATTGGCTGATTTGCATAAAAGAAGCCACTGAAGGCAAAATAATTAAACAGAAGTGCAGATAACTACCCCATCACTGTTACAAATGATATAAGCCTTTGAAAATAAGCTGCTACTTGAGAGGAGCTGTTTGTCTGGTGCATTTAATTCTAGTCTTTTAATAGTGCATAAATAGAGTTTCTCTCCTTTCCTTCCTTTTCTGTCCAATTGCCTTTTCCCCTCACCTCCCTCCAGTTTTATTGCCCCACTTTCTCTTTTCTCCCTTTCTAGGTCAGTTACCTCTTCCTCTTCCTCTCACTCCATCCTTCCTTTCTTCCTGTTTCTGCTGGAAGGAGGGAGAAGTGTGTGCTTGTGTAAGTTCAGTGTCAGAGTATAACTGGTATAATGGCTGGCATATGCAACTGGGGATCAATTAATTATCTGTAAATAATTTTAATTAATTCAGCTGAACTAGTTTAACTTAATTTATCCAAATAATATACTGTTTTTGTCTTGATCCTTTTTGGCAGGTATTTATGTCATTTGTTGGGCAGCAGACAGGGAATCTTCTTGACTGGCCTCAGCTGGAGTTGGCAACTCTAGCTAGACGAAGTGAGGAAGCTAGGCATAGAACAAGATTTGTATATGTGTTGTGTTATTTTATGCTATACGTACATAAAGTTAACTTCAATGGCAGCTATCCTAAAACTAAAATCAAAAGGCAGTATAGGAAGTATAAAATTGTATAAGGCAGAGAGCTACAATTCAGAATTCACAGTGCCAGTCTATTAATTCATTATTTAGTGATCCAGGAAAGGTCAGCCATGATGCATATCCAAGTCTGAAGAAACTGTTAGAACAGTTACCCAATTCAGTCCAATCAGTCCTGAGGAACTACAGATTCAGAAACCAAGGAAGGGTCTCTGGAAAGAGATGGGAAGGGAAAGAAAGGAACATACAACCCTGTAGAGTGTGCTCTGATCAGTAAACCATGATTTAACAAACTGGGATTGTTAAATCTAGCCCAGGTCTAGAGGTTTAGTAAAGGTGGGTCACAATACTATCTTCATTTTCTGAGTTAAAGAAATGTAGTTGATCTAACACTGGATTTTCATTAAGCATTTCTCTGAAGAAACTGAGTGACAATATTTGAAGAAACAATGTTACTTTAAAAGTATTATTTTTAAAACTTTTTAAAAAAAACAGCATTTCTTGACTTCTCTGTTGGCAGACATGGATAACTGTTCTTATAAAAATATATATGAGCATAAAATGAACAAGTGATCTAGAGCATGAAGAATTACTTGATGCTCTGCAATCCAGAAAAAAATGTCTTACTGCAGGAAAAGAGGTGTTTAGGGTAGCACGTAATGATAATTAAGACACAGTCTTGACACACATTTTGAAAAAGTGTGTCTTTTTCTCCACCCAAGGTCCTCCCACCATTAAAAAAGAAATAAGAGGTAAATGGATGGGTGGTGGGTGGGTGGATAGACAGCCAGACAGCCAGACAGTGTATGTGAGTATGTATGTTTGTGTGTATGTGTATATGTATCTGTATACATATGCAGGAAGAAGTTCTGTTATATAATAAACAGAGTAGCATTATGAAACATACTGGATAGACCATCTCTTTAGCATGCTCCCTTGTTTCTCTGAATGCAAACTGCACTAATAATCCCATGGCAGCAGGGAGTTCTCCTTCCATGAGAAGCTTTGATCCAGGTCTGCTGACATGTGCAGTGTGGAACAGCTGGCGAGGAGTCTGCCCATATGTTTTTATCATAGTCTCTAGAGCTCTTCTTTGGACTGGATCTTCAACAGCTGACACATCCATTCCAAAATATGTCTAAAATATAAATCAGAAACAAATAAATTATATCTATATACGAGTATGTATGTGTGTATAAGGGGATGAGAAAGGGGAATTAGTTCTTAGTGCATGGATATGCTCCTGACTAATAGTTTATTTATTATAACTCAAGGTAGTGTACATAATGCTTCCTCCTCCTATTTTCCCCACAACAAGCACCCCCTGAAGTGGGTTGGGCTGAGAGAGAGTGACTGGCCTAAAGTCACTCAGTTGGTTTCTCTAGCTAAGGGAGGACTAGAACTCACAGTCTCCCTGTTTCTAGTCTAACACCTTAACCACTACATCAAACTGGTGTACATAAAGCTTTTTAAATAAAAAAATTAAGTAGCTAAGCAAGCATACTATGAAGCTAAGACAAAACAGTAGTACCAATGCTCCAAGCTAGCAAAAGCTCTTCTTACTTCCTCTTGATTCAGTTATCATCAAAATAAAAGATCCAAAAAGCAGAACTAAGAAGTGATGAGTTCCACACTTGTAAAGCACTAACACAAGAGACACTCAGTATTTCCCAGCTTCTGAACCACTGCAAATATACCTTTGATCCTTCTATTATTTAGTCACTCTAAAATACGTTTAATTTTTATCACCATAGAAGCAACCAACACCTTAGTGTGAGCATCTCGGTGCAGGCCTGATTTTAGAACTGGTACTGCTTTGGATGCCTTAGGGCAGTGTTTCTCAACCATAGCAACTTTAAGGTGGGTAGACTTCTGGGACTTGAAGTCCACAAATCTTAAAGTTGCCAAGGCTAAGAAACTCTACCTTAAAGGGCGAAGTTCATTAGGAATTGGTCCAAGAGAGTTTGTTTCTGTTGATTCTGCCTGACTTCTTCACGACCTTCAATTCTACCATCTTTAGTATCCTAACAGATTTTGAAACAGGAACTGATGCAATTGTTCAAATTCTAACAGATCCCAGAACGTGATGCTGGAAGATTGCTATTTGGTTATTTAGGGCCAAGAAACAGCTGAAGAGATCATTCAGAAACTGAGCTTCATCAATGTATGGATGATACCCAGTTTTTTTTTCTTCTGATGCAAAGAAAGCAGTGAACGTTTTGAACTAACAGCTGGATATAGTAATGGATTGGTTGCAGTCTAATAAAACACCTTAACCCACAGAAGACAGGGATGCTGTTCTTTAGTAGGGATGCCCAGCTAAGAATGGGAATATGTTACATTTTAGATGAGCCTAGATCCCTCATAAATACTGGGTCTGATACTGTCACTGAATGAAAGACAAATGTATTACAAAAAAAAAGGATACTTACAGCAGGATGAAAGACATTGATAGCTTGAACTGAGGCCTTGCCTTTTTGTTTATACCCAAATACTAAATCAATCCAATGGCAGATGGTTTGGGAAACATGGTCAGACTCTAAAGCTTGACGGTGGATGAGGATAAATAATCTTGGATCATTTCGAGCCCATGGTGGGAGGTTCACATGGTTTACTCTTTCACCATTCTGACGTACCCCAAAATCAAAACCTATAAATAGAAATAATTTATATTAGTTGGCTTAGATCTAAGTAGCTAACGTAAGAATTTATTTTCATGTTCCCACCATCCTTCCTAAAAACCAACTCAGAGCAGTAGTCACAAAATTCTCTTCTCCAAATTTTTACATTAACAACTGGTTAAATCAATTGCGAAGTTTGCATATAGCTTTAAACCTTAGTTTAAAATAATGAATGTGAATCTTGGACGTGTGCACTTCTCCTGTTTCTCTCCTCCTCCAGGAAAGCTTATTTTTTCATCAATCTGCAGTTTATTATGAGTGAACCAAACATTTTGAATGTATTACAGACCCATTTCTTAATTTTTAAAACTATGTATTTCAGTAATAATAATGGTGCTGTTGAGTTCAACCTATGACTAGATAGTTAATTCTGACACAACAGTTGAAGGTCCATGGTCCAATTTATTTTATTATTTTTTAGATTTTTAGATCACTGCAATCATATGACTCCTAGCAGTATATAGAAAAACAGTTAAAACATAAACTATTATGGTATAATAATAATATGATTACAAAAATTAAAACCGACAATCTAATTGGAGCAATATGAATTCTGGCATTTCACCAGAGGAAGCCAAAAGTTCAAACCATTCCCAGCCCTACTCCCCAATATTGTTGCTTCTCTTATTGTATTTTTAGGAAAGTATACTTTTGCTTATAAATAGGGTGACTGAATGCTGGTTAGATTATAAAAAATATGGCAATCTCTTTTTAAAACATACCTTCCCTGTTAACTAAAAACTCAGGAAGATAAAAAAATTCTGGGATAAGTTCCTTTACATCAGTCATGGATTCATATGATGAAAGGCGCCAAGTTGTGTTAGTAGAATGGAAGGTTCTGTCTGGAATATCAAAGCTCTGATCTGAAAATGAAATCATATTAAATTAGTTACACTGTAGAAATTAATATATTACCCTAAGTATTTGGTTACAGAATGAATGCATTTTAATACTCCGTACTTTATCTGTGTGTATGCACTTTTACTGGTGCAGACAAACATGAAACATTTCAGCAATTCTGTTTCTAAGGATTGTAAAAATGTTGAAGTAAATATTTGCAATGGTTTGTTGGTCCTGTTATATTTCACATTATTGGATCCATTTTATTTATTGTAGTTTTCTATAGAATATTATGCACAATGCAACTCCCATCCAATCACTCTCAAAGTCTCAGTGTAAACATTTCTAACTCTATCTAAATACATGAAGGATGGTACATTTACCAAATAAAATAGCTATCTATCCAAATACTGCCCATTGAAAAGTAAGAAATTAAAATTATTTACATCATGAAGATCTAGAAAAAATGTACCTTGATAAGCTAAAAACATCTTTGTGAAAGGAGGCATTCTAACCAGGAAGTGAAGAACTGTTCCACTATTTGAGTAATGAGATCCATAATGATAAGGCTGTACAGGAGGCATTGGATCATCTTCTCTAGCTCCTTTACGGTATTCTTCTTCTAGGTACTGTAGCAGAAAGATATAAGAAAAAATAATGCATTTCTGTCTAATAAAGCAATACGTACTACAGTAATACCTCAGTTCACGTACGCTTCTGTTCACGAACAATTTGGTTCGCAAACAGCAGCATTCGCAAAATTTTGCTTCCGTTCGCAAACTCCGCATCAGGTGCCGAACACGACCCGTGGCCATCTTCCCTGCTCTGACACGTGATCGTGGCTTCCTCTAGGTGAGATCACAGTGTCAGGATTTTCTTTCTCATGGGAAAGGATTCATCCCGTTATCTTTACAACAATAACAAATAATATTTTGACTAC